GCATGAACGGGGGAGGGTCAGAGAGACAGGGAGACACAGACTCCGAAGCAGGCTCCAGGCTCTGAGCTGTCAGCACAGAGCCCGACGCGGGGCTCGAACCCATGAACCGTGAGATCATGACCTGAGCCGAAGTCGGACGCCCAACCGACTGAGCCACCCAGGCACCCCTGGAATAAATTTATTAAGATACATGTAAGACCTATAAGACGAGAACCACAAAACACTGCTGAGAGAAACTAAAGACCTAAATAAATGGGGCAATATACCACAGTCATTGACTGGAAGACTCAATATTATGAAAATACAATTCACCACAGATTAGTTAGAAAGATTAAATACAGTCCCATTCAAAATGTGAAGCTGATGCTAAATTTCAAATAGATATGCAAAGGAACTAGAACAACCAAAAGGCTTAAACTTTAGGGGGGTTCACATATAGGATTTTAAGAATTAGTATAAAACTAGAATAACCAAGGCAGTAGTGTATTGCAGAAAAATGCTATAGGTCAATGGAACAGAATTTAGAGTCCAGAAATATCTCTATACATACACGGTTGACAGATTTTCAAAAATGTTACACCAGTAACTCAATGCAAAAAGGATAATCTTTTCAACAAACTATACTAAAATAGTTCATATCCATATGAAAGAAAGTACCATTAACCTTTACCTCACCCTGTAAACCAAAGTAACTCAAATAGATCACAGACCTAAATGTAAACACTAAAGCTATTAAAACTAGAAGCACACTTAGAAAAAATCTTTGTGACTTTGGAATAGGCGAGCATTTCTTGGATAAAACAAGCCACAAAAAAAGAAAAAAAAATTGGTTAGTTGAAACTTCATCACTAATTTAAAAGTTTAGTCTTCAAAAGCCACTGTTAAGAAAAGAAAAAGGCAACCAGTGAATACAGCAAAATATAGCTGATAAGTACATGAAAAGATGTCTAATATCACATTATTAATGAATATCACATTATTCAGTGAAATGCAAATTGCAACTACAATGAGAAAACACTATAAATCCACAAAAATAGTTGAAATTTAAGACTGGCAACACCAAATGCTGGCAAGGATATAAAGAAACTTTTGTTATATACTGTTGCTGGAAATATAAAATGGTACAAACACTCTAAGAAGAAGTCTGGCAGTTTCTTACAAAAGTAAACACATACATACTCTATGACGAAGAAAATTCAAAACATATGTCTGAGCAGACTTGTACAAGAATGTTCATAGCCACTTTATTTATAGTAGTCAAAAATTTAAAACTGCCCAGGTGTTCATCAAAGGGAGAAGGCCTAAATAAACTGTGGTATTTTCAGACAATGGATTACTACTCAGTAGTAAAGAGGAACGAGCTACTTATACATGAAACATGGATTAATCTCAAGAACAACATGTTTGGTCAAAGAAGGTTTACACAAAAGAATCTATACTGTATAATTCAACTTTATGAATAGGTAAAACTAAGTTAGAGTGAACATAATAAAAATAGCATTGCCTCTGGGGTAATGGGTACTGGACTGATTGGAAAAGGGTGTAGAGAGAATTATCTGGACTGGTGCTATGTTGTATAACGTGATTGGTTTGAGTTACACAGGTATATGTATTTGTCAAAATGCACCTCATAGCACAGGTTAGTTTTGTGCACTTCAATGTATATGAACTTTACATTAAAGAAAGAATAGGGGTGCCCGAGTGGGTCAATCGGTTAAGTGTCCAACTTCGGCTCAGGTCATGATCTCATGGTTTGTGGGTTCAAGCCCCTTGTCGGGCTCTCTGCTGACAGCTTGGAGCCTGGAGCCTGCTTCAGATTCTTTGTCCCCCCAAGTCTCTCTACTCCTCCCCCGCT